AGAACATGCAAACTCCACACAGAAAGATTCCAGCATGTGGAGCGGCGACCTTCTTGCTGCGAGGCAACAGTGCGAACCACCGAGCCACCGTGCAGTCCAATATGTCTCCTAGCATATAAAAATATACATTGTGGACATGTTAACAAGGCAGAAAGGAAAAAACAAACTCATTTTCATTGGTCTTTAAATGCTGTGATCCCCACAAATTACATTTTTGTCATAGGTAGAAATCTTAAAGACAAACTTGTGCAATTAAGACCAAAATTATTTGCATACCTATATGTAAACAGTGGTAACAGGTGAAAAATAGTGTAATTTTTTTGTTTCTTTTAAGATATGGGTGTGCAGTGCCAATAACTTATAAGTGGTCTACATAACAAACAAACTGTACGGCTGACATTTGCCTGTGCAAGATAGTAAAGGTGGACCCTGAGCCAACAAATCCTCTTCCTCAGCAAACTGTGTGTGTTTATGTTTGTCGTAATGTTTGTGTGAATGTGAGAGTACTGTATTACTCATGTTGTGGAGACATAAATCTCTTCGGGCTGTTACATTGTTGGGACCTGTCTTCTAGCGCTGAAAAATTAATCGAAATATTACTATTGAAACTGCAATATAGCCAGGTGTAATTTTCAACTTGAAAAACTGCTGGTTTTTTCACAAAAGGTAAAATGTGTCACAAAATATCATTATAAACTGAACACTGTGGTGCTACAGAGATGCCCCAGACTACAAATCATGTTATCTGGATACACGGGAATATGCTTATTGGGTGCAGACCACAGCAAAAACATCATATCATCATTTATTTTTTTCAAGGGAAAAGAAATGAAAAAATAACAATTTCCACTACAATGGTGACTCATATCACAATATCTTTCAAAATAATGGTAGCAGGATTTTTTTATACTCAGCCTTACTGCCTTCCTTTTAAGAATAAAAAGCAAAATCCTTAACTTTTATATGTTTTGTTCTTTGTTAATGACAAATAAATTGTAATAAATGATGCACATCAGGGGCCTGTTCCTGAGTTTAACAAAAAAGTCAGGCTTATTTAGTTCTGTGAAGGTTACTGTTTGCCAAACCTTTAGGTAATATTCCTTGACCGTTAGACTTTGCTGCTTGCCTGAACAACCACAAAAACACCATAAAAGTTAATTATCACCACATTATATGGAACTTTTAATTAACCACTCCAGTCTGCCAGCATACAGTAACCTTCAGAGAACATTCCTTAAAGGTTACTGTCACCTGGTTCCTGGCACAGCAAAAATGGATTTTCACCACAGATCAGTTTTCCCAGCACATGTTGTTCTTGTGGAACCTTCAAGGTACATTCCCTGAAGGTTAATAGTTTTTTTTGCTCAGGGAACCAACAGTTACTTTCAAGGAACCTGCCCTAAAAGTTACTGTTTGCAGAACCTTCACTGAACATTACCTAAGGTTACGGTTTCTTTCAGGGAACCAGCAAATAGTAACTTCAAAAAAATGTTCCCAGAAGGGCTCATAAAGGTTACTGTTTGCCAAACCTTCAGGGAACATTCCTTGAAAGTTACTGTTTGCTGATTCTCTAAACAAGCACAAAATAAAAATGATTTTTTTATTGTATGTAACCATCAATTAATCACATAAGTCATCCCAGCAAACAAGAACCTTTAGAGAACCTTCAGGGAACATTCCTTGAAAGTTACTGTTTGGTGATGTTCTAAACAAACATGAATATGTCACCATATGTAACCTTCAATTAACCACATAAGTCATCCCAGCAAACAGGAACCTTTACAGAACCTATGGGGAACTTTCCTCAATCGTTAATGTTCGGGGGTTCCCTGAACAACCACACAACAGGCTAAAACTGTATTTTTACCACAAATTATTCACTCCGGTCTTCCAAACAAACACTAACCTTAAGGAATCCTCCAGGGAACCTTCAGGAAAATGTTACTTAAAAGCTACTGTTTGCTGGTTCCCTGAACAACCACAAAACATAACAACAATGGATTTTCACCATATGGGAACTTTAAACACATCAGTTTTCCCAGCACATGTTATTCCGTGGAACCTTCAGGGTACATTACCTGAAGATTATTGTTTGTTTGTTCAGGGAACCAACAGTTACCTTTGAGGAATGTTTATCTGATAGTTAACGATTAGCAGCATGTTGTTTTCACAGGCTTTTTGATACATACAACATAAACACCATTTCCAGCGCAACACAGATTTTCCACTCCTCTGCTCTAAACACACTTGTTTTATCAAACATACTCCAGAGAACCTTCAGAAAAATATTACTTGAAAGCTACTGTTTGCTGGTAAATCAATCAATCAATCAATCAATCAATCAATCATCCATCCATCTATATAGGGCCTGTATTTATTCACTTCAGCAAACAGTAACCTTTAAGGAACCTTCAAGGAATGTTTCCTGAAGGTGACTGTTTGTTTCTGCAGGGAACCAGCAGACGGTCACCTTCAAGGAAGGTGGCCGTTTGCTGAAACTGAAAGGGAACAAGGGAACATAACCTGGATGTTCTCCAAACGTTTCCCAAAAAGTTTGGCAAACTGTAACCTTCAGGACATCCTTAGGGAATGTCCATGGATGGTTACTGTTAGCTGCCTTCAATTCTCAGTTGCTGTAATGATTCACCAGAACTTCCCTCATGAGGAATGTTGAGGAATCCACGTTTTATTTCCTTCAAAGGTGCGAATTGACAATTAAGTTCACCAGCGTTATCTATTACAACACGTCACCCACTCTGATGATACGTTTCCTTAATTGTCCAATGGAAACTTCACACGTCACATCCGGTCAGCTGTCGCTTCCGGATGCGGTGAAACAGCGGAGGAGCAGAAAAACACCGCGCGGACATGGATTAATTAAAATGACAAGAAGCTACGCGTAAAGTCGGAGGAGACGCCAGCACCGTACGCTATGGATTCACGGAGACAAATGCCGTCGCTGGAAACTGCGTGTTAGCGGTGTTTTACCGTCGGACGGTCCGGTAACGAGCGTTGTTTTCACTGAGTGGCCGTGTTTATGTCTACTTGCTAGCTTAAGCCAGCGTCGCGTTAGCCGCTCCGCGCAGACAAACAGCGTCTATCCCTGTGAGGAGATAATGTGACCTGCCGTGTTTTTGATATATAACAGGAGGAAACAGTGCTGTGCCTGTTTGATCGTAACTACAAAGAGTTTGTTTTGGTCGCTTTGGGGTCCAGACTCTGTTGCTGCGTCCTCACCGACAACATTTCTTGTTGTTTTAAATCGCACAAGACACTTTTGGGAATCGTGTCTGAAGTCAGCTTTTGTACCAGAGGACGACATGGGTGTAATCTGGACTTCAGTCCCCACAAAGAAAACACAGCAGACACTTTGTAAATAACACTTCCCTGTCAGCCGGTAGGCTCCACTACTTTTTCCGAGTTCCGCTGACAAGGCACATAAACTATATCCTGTGTTTGGATTCGGCTGAAGTGAAGGAGAGCTTCCTTTCTCGTTTCTTTTTTATTTATTTATTTTTGTTTGTGTCAGCACTGTTTTTCTTGCTTATACCGAGGTCTTCAGCTCAACAGGTAGGTCTGTGATAGGTTTGTGGTTGTGTCATGTGGGGATGTGTGTGTGTGTGTGTGTTTGCATTGCTGACCTAGATATTTATTATGTGCTCTTTGCTAACGATTTACCAGAGTCAAAAGTCTTAATGTCTCCGTTTAAAAAATGCACAAGTATTGAGTGTAGAATAGCACAAAGTTCTAACCAGTGACTGTATTTGGTTCAGAATAATCTGTTGATTATTTTCACAAGTAGTGTCTAAGGTTATTTAGATTTTAAAGCAACTTGGCTTCACCAAAGGGCTGCAAAGAGGTCATAAAGAAGACAGGATAAGACTTGTAAAATCCGTTAGTTAAACAAAACAAAATAAACATTAAGCACTAAAAAAAAACAAGGCAAAACAGGATTGCAACTTCTAAGATTAATTTCTAAAATTGAATACATAAAGAATACGACAATATTTAGACCACTGAGAACAACCAAAGGCCATTAAAGCATTTGTTTTGAGGTTTTTGTATTTGTGTCAATGGAGGAGAAACACTTTGAATTGAAAGCTTTGGAGCTGCCAATGTAAAGGTGTGAGCTCTCTTAGTAAAAAAGCAGCTGTTTTGAGGATCTAGGAAGATATTAATAAGTTCCCAAAGTCCAGGTTTTCATCTCAAATGTCCTATTTAGTCTGGCGACCCTTCTGAAACCCAAACGTATTTAGTTTACAGTCATAGAAGAATTAGTAAACCACACAATACTCACATTTTAGAACAAATAATAAGCTGAAAATAATACATTTTTTATTTTGCTGTGGAGCAACTCAAGCACTCAAATGTGTAAATGAATATCCAGTATTGTTGCTGATATTGTTATATTTGCCTGATTGACTAACATTATTAATAGATTAATAATGAGTTGCTAGTGTTCCTGATGTGTATCTGATCATGTACAATCCCTATTTGTTCCAATATTGGTGTTGTAGGAACGTGTCCATCACCACTGTAGGCACCCTAAGGCTAAGTGCCTTGTACATGACACTGTAAGAAGTGTCTCATTGTGTTAACATTGGGATGATGTGGATTCATTAGCACAGTGATCCTCTTGTCTCTCCTCCTGCACAGTGAAGGATGAATGGCCTCTCTCTCAGTGAGCTCTGCTGCCTGTTCTGCTGCCCGCCTTGCCCGAGCCGCATTGCAGCCAAGCTCGCCTTCCTGCCCCCGGAGCCCACGTACGCCTTTCTGCCAGACCCGGAGGCAGGCCCCGCGGCACCCGGGGCAACGGGGACGTCGAGCCTGCGGGCGCGGAGCGGGGCCTCGGTTGCTGGAAGCGGAGGAGCCGGGGCTGTGGAGGGGAGATGGAAGCTTCACCTGACGGAGCGAGCAGAGTTTCAGTACTCTCAGAGGGAGCTGGACACGACGGAGGTGTTCCTCGCTCGATCCAGCCGAGGGAACAGAGTCGGCTGCATGTACATTCGCTGCGCTCCTAACGCCAGGTGAGCAGCTCAAAAGGTTTCCTTTTGTGTTTGAGGTGACTCATTGCTGTGTGATAGAGACTTAAGCTTGCTTGACCTCTCTGGTTCATTAACGGCATTGTGTCACACTTCCTCTGAAGTGGTTTAACACCCTTCTTTCTTGTCTATCTTCTTCTACGCACATCCAGGTCTACTTCCTTTACTTGTCTCCCTGTTTGCTCAGCTGACTCAAACATTATCTCTTCCTGCCTTTTCTATAGATCACTGTCATCCAAAATGATGTGTTATTTTAGTTGTTGTATTTTTTTCTTTCTTTCTTTCTTCTTTTCCTGCATGTTTGTCAGTACTTGTAAGTTGAGTTTCCCTTGTGTCATTCATGACAGTGATCATGATAAAAATGTGTCATGCTCAGTGACAAGATACCAGTTTCCAGTGAGTCAGAGGCAAAACATTTACAGCTATGTGGTTTTCTTTTCTGCAGGTTTGTGTCAATGAATTTAGTGCAGTGACTGGTAGATAGCTAAATGGGAGGTGATCACATCATTTGACCTAAAAAAACCCAAACATTTAATGAGATTTAAAAGCATTTAACTTCAGTTTGACACCCATCTGACTGCACTGTGCTGCTACTGATTAACTTACCAAATCAATTAAAAAGAAATGGACAAGCTTGTGTTACACTCCATTGCCTTGCGTTAATGTCTGTCTAGTATTACAGAGAATAAAGCTAATCTTGACCTGATATGGCAGAAGCATTGTTTTGCCACGTTCTATGCAAAAAAAAAAAAAAGGCCAAGAGCAAAGCCGCGGGCTGTTGGAGCTCATAAACAAAACCACCGAGGGAGAATTTCAAAATAGACAGCGTGTAGAAAAAGTATCAGATTTCTTTGGAGAGCACAACATGCATTCATGAATAACAGGCAAGGGCTAGAATACCCAGCGTTTATAAAGGATACCCTGCTTCTCAGGTCCTGCAAAAATGTCTAGAAGTAAGAGTCATTTGACATGCAGCCATAGTAGTAAACCAATCCTTCAACCAGCAGCTGTTTTAGACAAAAAAAAAACATATTGAATGAGGCCACATTGAGGTAGTGGCCTCATTTACAATAACACCTAGCAACGACACAAATAAACCGAATATGTTGGCTTCAAATACAAAAAACAAAGATACAATCAGCAATTAAAGAAGAGGATAAAAGAAAATTAATAAAATGATGATCACCATTAGGAATAAATAGAGAAATTAAGATTTAAGACGAGATAAATCAACTAAAACAGGAACAGCTAAGTGTGAAATATGATTGTTAGGCGTGTTATTCTGGGTTTCTGTGCACAATAAGTAAAAGTTGCTCTGAAGAACAGTCAGCAGCTGCAGGTTTACACTCACCACTTGTGTTTTCTGGTCATTCTAGGTGCTGTGAAAACTATTTACAATAGTGTAAAGCATTTAGCTACACTATATAATGTGTTTTTTTGCTCATGTAACATTAAGAATCACAGTAAAATTGCTGATTGTTTACAGGTTGCTGTATTTCCGACTCTACCTGAAGTACAGAATCAATTTTTGGCTGTCTTATTTTCTGCTGGCCCATCTGCTAACCTTTCTTTTGAATTTATATCCCCTCAGATTTACAGTGCTTTTCTCCCATGGCAACGCAGTCGACCTCGGCCAGATGAGCAGTTTCTACATCGGCCTCGGCACTCGTATCAACTGCAACATCTTCTCCTACGACTACTCGGGCTATGGCGTCAGCACCGGCAAGCCGTCTGAGAAGAATCTCTACGCAGACATAGATGCTGCCTGGCATGCCCTGCGCACGCGGTAACCGTTACCATATAATTGACCCATATGTGTCTTTCAATGAATGATTTATTATGCTGTGTTTTATTCTGGCGAGACGCGGTGAGTTTAGATTCGGTTCAAAGCAAAGCGGGGATGAATCACGCTGGCAGGGGTTGTGGTCAGGACAGAGCTGCGATGACGAGGGCAGAGCAGAGTGGGGACAGATACTGGGGGAATTAAAAAGAGTGAGATGGATGGATGAGGGGAAGCTGCAGGATGATGCATCTCAAGGACATTGTGATGTGATAAAGTGTCTCATTAGTGGAAGCATTACTGTCTTAATGCATCTGTAGCCTCGGGGAGACATTACAACACACTGACTAGGGGTTGGCTGAGGTTACCTTACCTCCATAACTTCAGTGTGTTTACCGAAACTGTTTCTAATATAATTGCTGTCCAGAAAATACATGCTTTAAGGTGACTGAAATAAAACTGACTACAAACTAAAGTTGTATATTTTCAAGGTTAAATGAAATAGGTTTTCAGTCAAACACATAGACAGGTAATGCTGAAAAGATGGTGATTAACCGGAATGACTGACAGGAAATATATTACCATTTTGGTGACTGATTTTAAATCAAATCACCAAATATTTAAGTAAAATTTGATTTAAAATCTATTCAGTTTCACTTATGGTGCGCCAAGTCATAACACAAGTCATCTCAGGGCACTTTACAGAGCATAGCCAGGACCTCACGATAATATTAAACTAGAAATAGAAATAATAATTGTTTTTCATTAATGAAATTAACTATTAACTAAAGTCATATGTCTTTAGATGTTGGTGCTGTTCATAACACTACTGTTGTTAGCTTGTATGATTACGTTTTCTCCCTCCAATTGGTTTCATAATAGAATATAAGTTATTTATTGTCATTGCAAGTGTGCAGCAAATTTAGTCTTAATGCATAATAAAAAAAAAATCTATATGAAGTGGCTATATATGCAATATGTGCAGTAATAATCTTAATCATTTCATTTGTGTAGCATATTTCAGTGTGCTTCACAATTAAATTTTAAATCAAACAAAAAATGAAAACTAATTTAATTAAAATTTTTGGATTTTATTTTACCAGGTATGGCATAAGCCCAGAGAACATCATCCTGTACGGTCAGAGCATTGGTACAGTTCCCACTGTAGACCTGGCATCGCGGTATGAGTGTGCCGCCGTGGTCCTGCACTCACCTTTAACTTCTGGTATGAGAGTGGCCTTTCCTGAAACAAAGAAAACCTACTGCTTCGACGCTTTCCCCAAGTAAGTCTCTGCAGACTGTTCAGTTTCTTCTCTCTGTCTCTTTCTACGCTTTGCTACAAGTCTCATGTATATAATGTCTGTTTCCATGAATTTGTTGTTTAAATAGAAATTTAACATCTAATAATGAAAACTGTGTTTCAGTGCGTTGCCTAATTAAATTGATGTGTTTGGTTTATTGCATGAAATACATCATTAGCTGCAAGAAACACATTTTTTGTCAGAGACATATTTCTGTACACAGCAGTGTAATCCTTATGCTCTCCTCTGTCGGCTCCTCGTCTCTCTCCGTCTAATAAAATCCCTTAATAAGGTGTTCCTTTAAATGTGACACACACACAAAGATCACACAGACGGTGTACACAGACTGTTTGGCTTTCTGTTGCCATTTTCACATAATGACAAATCTGCTAACAGAAAAGCATACTTGCACTTGTGAAAGTGTTTTTTTGTCCAACGCGAACATCTGCGCTGATAGAGCTGCTCCTCTTCGTTTGGGTTGCAGTTTGACGGATTTCTGCTCCACTATCTTTCCTTGGTTAACATGTTGATAGCTCTTTTTTTTATTACAGATATGAGCAGGCCACCTAAGTACTGTAATATTTCAAAGGCAAGCTGGCGCTCCCAGAGGTCTATCTTATCTTGCAGGGAGCAGCGTCACCGAGCAGTAGTCGTTCTCATCTGGCACCGTTTTAAAAATGATTTTCTGCTGCAGCTCACATCTGTCTCCTGCTGCAGAGACTTTAAGTGTCATTCACACATGTAACGTCGGATGTAATGATCATCATCGTATCGCATCAGTGTTAATGAGACCTTATGATCTAAGTCTTCTTAATATGGCTGATCAGAGTTAAATCATTGCAAATGTAGTTTTAGATTATGAGCAACCCCTCGTCTCGGGAGCATTCAGTAGTGTTCTGGTTTACGTTTAGTCACTGTTAGCAGGCTTTAAGGACTTAGCGTGACTTCAGCATAGCGCGGACATGTGCATATAATCAACAATCAACAATTTCCCTGAGGTTTGCACCAAAGGGATCAGACCGGTTTCTATTAATAAGTTTCACAAACAAATAAAATTACTTGCTAAATATGTGTTTACTTTTTCTTCTGTCTCAGCATCGAGTCTTTCCAAAGAAGCTCTCCGGAGACGCTTGTTTTTTTTATACATGTCGGCAGCGGTTAGACTGACGGCTTCGTTTAACGGCCGGGCATGAAAACTGACAGTCAAGTGCGGAAACAAGCACAGACGGAAGACAGGCTAGTCATATTTCAAAATAAAACACCCTGTAGACTGGAAATAAAAATAAAACGATTAACCTTTTATTCTTTCTGTGTGGCTCTGTGTGGCCCGGTACCGGTCCACGGCCCAGTGGTTGGGGACCGTTGCATTACAGGACCAAAGCATATAAATCCAGGCCAGTTGAGAACAGCAGTTTTAGTGTTAGTTTACAGTTTTTACAATATTTGTTTAATTTATGGGCCAACTTTGGAGTAAAACAAATGATGAAATGTCAAATATAAAACTAGTTTTATTTACCGCGCATAGAACATCAAATCACAGTCACTCGTGCAGTCGAATAAACAAGCTCACTGCACTGAGGCAACGTGGTTTTCATGCTAAAATTTCAACCTAAAGTATAATTGGTAAATAATTTTCAAAAGTAGGTGAAGGAGGTGGTCATGCAAACAAGCTGAGAGCAATGTGGGGGTTTAGCTAGCAACGGGCCGCATGACAAAGTCTTCTGTGGTGCATAATGGCCTCCAGACAGAACTCGTGTTCGAGTCAAGCTTTGATTCATGAGGGCAGAGTTCGTACATCCTGTGGGATGTGTAACAGAGCTACCTTTGTGGCTCAAATCATGTGTCTTTTGACTAAAACAGCAACACCAGCACAGACAAATGTCCACTGTGCTCAATGTTGTGTCAACATTTTATCAATAACTTATTGTATAGAAGGTAAATTATTAAAAATTCCTCTGTGACCGTAGATGCAGACGAGGGATCAGGTGTGTGTTCGTGCCGATCAACCATTGCTTGGGTTTAAACTTCTACTCTTTGTCAAAGATTCTTCTAATGCTCCTCGTTCTGTTATATCCTCCCACTCCTACCACACATTTGTATGCAATCGTGGTGGTGTGGGTGTTTGCCGTTAAGTGTTGTTAGAGGGTTTTTTATTTTTAAACCATGGCCACAAAGCAATTCCCATGGCCAGACAATAAGGACACAAAGTACCGCTATCATTAGCGAGCCTCTATCCCTTCTGTTCCCGTTGTCAGTTCAGTTGTAGCGGCTAAGTCTGTAGTGAAGGTCAATCCCAGCCTCAACGTCGAGCCTAGTCTCAGATGGTACCAGTGGGTGAGCAGCAGAGGTGGTAGGAAACCAGGGAATGCCTGGCTGTGTGCGTGGTGGGCTGAGAAAGCCTCCAGTGTTGTTCAGAGTCAGTCAGAGTGGGCAGCTGGCCTCCCTTCATGTGTCTGTCTGTCCTCTCTCTGCTGTTTTCTATGCAAAATATGTCTATGACTTGATGACAGTTTTAAAAATTCACCTTTGCGCATGCGATTATTTTGCAAAAGCAGCCAATAGATATGTTAAATTCTGTTAATTTAAGCTGTAAACAAATCCCAAGAGTCCCGTTTCGTCTCTGGAGAGTTTGCGAGTGCAGAATCTGCTGATTTGAGGGGGTCAGCTCTGATGTTGCCAAAATCAAATTATCATTTATCAGCACTCATGCTACAAAACTCTCATTTATTAGTCACTGACCTGCTTGACACGGTGATGTTTTTGTTCAACACAAACAACAGCACTGATATATTGGGTTACTTCCAAAGCAATAAATGTGTTTTATAACCCAAAGCAAATTACTGCTGCTGCAGTGCAGACAGAAATGAAGCTTCCGCAAATCCTTGTAGATATTTTTACTTGAACCATAACAACATATTTTATTGACTTTTTTTTTTTTTTTTCCGACCGAGCACACCGATCCGCCAGGGTTTTCTTTTTATAACCTGATCCACAAGGCCAGTGCTTTGTGGGCTATTTAACTGACCCGTGCAGTCTTTTTTTTTTTTTTTTCTTTCCAAAGCCTTTTTTTTTTTTCTATTTCTAACATCTCTGCTGCCCTTATTTTCCATTCCAGCATCGAAAAAGTGTCCAAAATAACTTCCCCGGTGCTCATCATCCACGGGACAGAGGACGAGGTGATCGACTTCTCCCACGGCCTGGCCCTGTTCGAGCGCTGCCCCAAGGCCGTGGAGCCTCTCTGGGTGGAAGGAGCGGGACACAACGACATCGAACTGTACAGCCAGTATCTGGAGCGCCTGCGCCGCTTCATAGGACAGGAGTTGGCGGTACAACACGCCTAAACCACCACCACCACCACTACAATCAGCATCAGAATTACCGTTTTTGTTTTGTTTTTTTCTTTCCTGGTCCACTTAAAGCCTCACCTCTCCAAGATGGAAATCTGTCCAAGACTCATCTAAACCGTCCCTCAGCTTACCAATGCTTCCAGGAGTGTCACGTTCAACATATTGTAGTGTTTTCGGGGCGTAGTTTGCCCGCAATGGACCGTGGATCTGTGAGGCGCACGGAGGAGTGTGTTTCAGATGTGTGTGTGTGTGTGTGTGTGTGACTGCGAAAGACTTGTTTTCTAGCAGGAACTTTTAAGAGTACAGCTGCTATGTGTTACGTGGTAGCAGATGTGTTCCTATACTGTGCAATAACACGGACAGTGTCCACAAGAAAAAAAAAAAAAAAAGGCTTTTGTTGATATTAGATGAGTTAACAGAACAACAAACTGAGAAGTAATCATGTCGGTCGACTACATCACAGTCCACGTGGGCGGCTCCTGTCGGTTTTCCAGCCCACTCGTACAGTTTGTTTTTAACCTGAGTTAGCAGATTAATAGAGAAGCACCTTTATTAGAGGATTAGAGGAGGGTTGGGGGAATATTTTCTAATCATTATTAAAATGTGGCACAAAGATGCTCTTTACATTTGAGTTACCACTTTCTATTAGTTGCACCAGTCAAATGCAATCCAGGAGTGTTGATTTAAGGTGCTGTCTTGTCTTTTTTTTTTTTAGTTCCTGGTTAGTTGGTGTAGCATCGGACTGCATTATATTGGAAGGTGTTTCTAATATTCTGTCTCCCTCGAGGCGGACGAAAGCGGCGACTCGTATATATTCCTGGGGGAAAATGATACATCCATGGGTATAAGTTTGTATTTTGAGTCTTTCATTTAGTTTTTATCGTACTGAACTTTTCGCTCAGGTAACCCTCTTTTAGACATTAGGGTGAGTGTGCTCCACACTTGTTCGTTTTTGTATGCTAAATCTCCTCACGTCCACATTTCTTAGTAGCGAGTTAATCCAGTGTGAGATCCTTCATTTTTTTTTTAACCCAGTAAAGAACCAGACTTTGATCCTTAAACTGAGGTAAAGTTTGGTGACACCCCCCCAACACATCTGTATCCCGGTACTGGACTCTGGGATCAGCTGTGTTCAAGAGGGACAAAAGTTCAAGAGCCTCAAAAAGGAAAAATACCTCCAGGTCTCTCATTTAATGGAATGTCTGAGAGTCTGTTAGCCCCGTCCGTTTAGTTTTAGTCTTGTTTATGTCTCACACCAGTAGGTCACAGCTGTCAACACTGTTTCTCTCTCAGTGTCTGGAACAAGAGAAGCAACACTAAAATTAAACAGGCCTTGGCTGTCTCCCTCCAGCCTCTTCTCATCCTTTGCTGTGTTTATATCCTAAAAAATCTTTTCTGACACCCGTATTACTCATTTGCACTCCATCTAAAGGGACACTTTTGTCAGCGTAGGAAGTGAATTACTGGTCAGCTTTCTCATTTCGGTGATTGGTGAATTATATCACATTCTGATGATGATAAAAAGCATTCCCTCCCTTTTTCAGGTAAGCACAGAACAGCAACGTAGTTCAGCGGTTGCTTTACAGCTCTAGATTCAGTACAAAAGCTCTTCTGAGACACTTGTCGACAGGCGAACAAGTGTTGGCGCTGCTTCTTTGTCAGACACGTTACTGTCCACTGCCATCCTGTGCTGTAGCGTCACACTCTTTGTGTAAATGTAGAGCAGCTCTTCAGATCCCTGCCCTCTCTGGTTTACAGTCTTTCTAACAACTGCCTATAATATTTGTTCGTCTATGCACACAAGCATAGTCGTTCAGTATTTAACCTGTTGGTAACACTATTTCACAACACAAGTGATGTTCAATGAGGTTTTTGTAACAGCTGTGAGCCGAAGCGTGCTGGTTTTTTTCCCCCCCCTTGTGGCTAATTGATCTTTTTTTTGTTATTTGGAGGGATATCAGTATACAGCAGATTGTCCCGTTCTGCTTCACGTACTGGTTTTGTCTGTGAAGATAATTGGTACATGATTGTGCAAATCATTGTAAGTTAACTCCTAAAGATCATTTTCACTTGAGCTCATCATGACAGAATCACGGTAATTAAAAGTGCAGTTTGAAGTGAACATGCCACCAAAGTTTGAAACCATTTCTGGCTAGAATATAAAGGACACAAGCGTTTCTTTAGGCACCGAGCGTTGCTTCGTTAGGCGACTCGGTTAGAAGCCGAGTTTGCGACCGTTCTGTTTATTTTTGAAGTCCAGATTTTTAGGCTTTCTTGTCGATGTATGAACCAAAGTTTTTTTTTTTTTAGTGCTTTAGCCAGTGTACCCGCTGTTTTGTTTTGTATCTTCATAAGCAATATTGAAAATTCTTTTATCAACTTGTTATTTATCTATCTCGATATTTTTCCACCTCACATTTGGATACAAATTCATTGTAAGAAAAAGATTTCTCAGCTTGCTAAATGATTCTATTTTATCATATCACGTCTACTTTCCGATACGCAGGAGCAGAATGCTAGAAATTAACCAAATTTTTGCGTGCGCGTGTGTGTTTTTTTCAAGCTGTTTATAATTTATGCAGGAGTTCGGCTAAGCAGTGCAGCGAAGTCACGTGTGTGTAGATGAAAGAATATTGACAGAAGAGCTTCAAGCAAAGACATGAAAAGAAAAAAAACTGTCTTATTCAAACCGTGTGGATTTCTGTTGAGGATTGCAGCCGTGGGTATCGTTTTCAGCATCGCACATTCTTATCCATTGTTTATTATACTGACAAATGTTTAGTTTTTAAAGATATTGTCTTTTTTTTCCAAGAATAAGTTAATAAAACATAATCAGAAGTTGATAAGAAGTGTTGTTTTTTGTTTGTTTCTTCGAGCTGGGTATCTTTGTGCGGTTAAATCTGCAAAAGAAAGGCGTTTTCTGCAGGGATCTATGTTACGCGTGCCTCTTTCAGTCCCTTGATTTTCCACTCATGGCAGTCCTGGCGCTCTGTGAATAAAAACCTGTCTGTAGTTTTAAAAAAAAAAGGCCTCGCAGGGCTGCACAAGGAAGATCCAAGAATGGCTCTGCTGAATAATTGGCTGATGAGTAAATGAGTGTTTAATTGCTTGGTGTTTTCTTTTCTTTTTTCTTTTTTTTTATACCCCCTCATCTGTAGAGTTATGTGTTGGATGAGCTTGTTAGCGTGTGTGCCAACAACGGTTCAAGTGATGTGTTTTAATTAAACCAGTACAAGGACTCAGGTCTGTCCCAGCCTCCCCTCACTGTCTGCCACCATGTCGAGTTGTGGGGAAACAGAGACAGATGGATCGTAAGCTGCATTCGCCCTCCTCCTCCTCCCTGAACACACACACACACACACACACACACACTCGTGCCAGCTCTTTTTCAATGGACTACATAAACAATCTGGTGTCTCACTCAAATGCTCTTACGGATTAAAAGCAGCTGCAGCGGTACATCCCTCCCTCCCCTCCATCCTCCTCTCTGCGTAAGGCAAAGTTAGTGCAGCCTGACCTACTGCATCAAGCGCCACCCCTCCACACTTTCACACAGCCCTGAGCGCAAGAAAAAAAAGCCTTTCATGCCGACGCGTATCAAAGGATTGCGGATGCGGCCTCGACAACGCAAGAGTCAAAACAAGGCCCCGTGAATCAGAGAGCAGCCTTAAGAAGTGCGGAACATTCAGTGTATGCATAACAGTTCAGAAGAGCAGACCTGCACATTTAAATCAAACGCGGCGGCGGCGGCCTTGTTTAACCGTACAGCACCTGAATGAAGGGAAGAAGAAAAGAAAAGCGCTGCTGATCGTCCTCCATGTTTCCATGACCTGACAGTGACACTTTCAGTATCTAGAATGCTGCTGGTGAATAATGTGTCTGTCTTATGGATAAGCAACAACACGCCCTGATGTGACCTTTACTTCCTTTCAAGCTCATTCAATTCATACCTGGTAACTGTCTCCGTCGTTAGCCTAGACGACGGACCTTCACCATGTCTGTGAGGCAACAAAACACTTCCTGTGCTCGCTTGTGCTTTATTTTGTTCCTGCTGAGCTTCTCATTGCCATTCTCCCAACGTCCCATCTTGTCCTGTGCATTATTTCCTCGCTGATGGTTTTATTTGTTGACGCTCTCTGCGGTGGACTCAAATGTGTTTATTCCCATTTTAATTTGGCTTTTTGTTATGTCTGCTTGATTGTAGTCGGGGTGAACGCTCACGCACGGAGCCGCTCGAACAAATGGTACATAAAGCTGATTTTGCTTTGTTGAGCTTGTGTGATTGTCTCCTGAGGTGAGGGGGCCATTCGTCTGGACGTGGCCCGCCTGGCTGCGCACAAGCAGCTCGCTCAGGCTGATGAATAAGCTTTCACACTTACTCAGGAGTAAAAGCCTTTCTTGGCCATTTACGTAAGAAGCGCGTCACGCCGAGCAACCACCTGTTCTGGTGTTTTCACTGTCGCTCCGTCTTGCGCCGCTCGGAGGCTCATCGATTATCGCCATCTTGACGGTCTGTCGGTGCAGCTGCAGACTCCTAAGTGCAAAAAACAAAAAAAATAAGGATATTTCAGACAAATAATGTAGCACTGAGGGTAGAAGTCAGGCCCGAAGAAAGCTAAAAGTGGCATGATTAACTTGTTAAAGAGCTTTGAGGCTGATGGGAGCAGCTAGACATCCGCCTACAGAGGGAGATGTGGGTTATTTAAGGTGCAATATGCAAGATTTTGAATAAAATATAGCATTATATGGAAACAAACAATCATCTGCTACATAAAGGTACACTGTGATTTGGTTGTTTTGTTAACTTACAGATAATAACAAGTAAAATCACAGAAATAAAAGTATTAATTTACATATACACTGCAAAAAAAAAACAAAACAAAAAAAACAGGCCAAAACTTTGAATATTGTTCACATCAAAGGTCTGTTTTTGTTTTTTGTTTTTTTTGCAAATTTGCTCTTTTACAATGTTTGACTGTATATTTACACTATTTTACTGTATTTGAATCAGCAAAAAATATATAATTTTACAGATATTTGTCATTATTTGAGAAAAATATGTATATTAAAGATTGGAAAATAGTAAATCATTATTTAAACGGATATTTCATAGATTGTCCTTGTTTTATTAAATTATTATATTTAGTAAAATCACATGTTA